TCCGATGGTACAAAATACCCAGGCAAGTGCTTAGTTTTGGTGGGGCTGATGGTAAGGCCCCACCTCTTAGTGGCACGCTCCAGTCTCAACAGCAGCATCTCCAACTCCTCCTCTGAATGAGCAGCTATTACCAAATCATCAGCATACATAACGTGGTTGACCAATAGGGAGCCATCCCTTGATCGCACCCGGGCATCGATCAGCCTCCCATTATATCTGTAGCAAATGGAAATTCCCCCGGTACAGCTATTGAACGCTTCACAAATTACGTGGTCAAAATAGATGTTAAATAATGTGGGAGCCAGAGGACATCCCTGTCGTACCCCAAGGTGTACAGGGAAAGGCTCTGACTCCTGGCCACGCAGTTTTACCCGGGCCCGTTCATCATCATGAAGGTCCTTAATGATCGTGAGCAGAGGGTCAGGGACTCCGAAAGCACGAAGAACAACCCAGAGCCCAGGCCTACTGATAGTAGCATAGGCCTTGACCAGGTCAATAAAGCAGAGATGTAGGTCTTGTTGGAATTCCCTCCATCTCTGCTGTAGCAGACGGACAGAAAATATGGCATCTGTGCAGGAACGACCTTTCCTGAAACCGCATTGGGGCTCCGCAAGCCTCTCCTTAGCGTGCCTAGCAAGGCGATGTTGAATAATCCTTTCCAGGACCTTTCCCGGCACACTGAGGGGTGAGATGCCCCTGTGGTTTTTACAGTCTGTGCGGTCCCCCTTCTTAAAGTGGGGGACCACCAGGGCATCCTTCCAATCCTGCGGAACCCATCCAGTGGTCCAGACCGTTGTTATGATGTCATATAGGGCAGTCTGTGCACAAACGCCACCCTCCCTCAGCATTTCGCTTGGGAGATCATCTCTGCCCTGTGCCTTTCCTGGTCTCAGACTCCGGATTGCCTTCAGTACTTCTTCAACAGATGGCACCTCAGCCAGCCACTCACAGGGGGTGACTTCTTCCAATATTTGAGGCACCGCAGCCTCAGCAGGGTTATCCCCACTTTGTGCCATGATATTTTCCTGGCTGAGGGATTTCCCCTACCCCAGGATGTCACAGAAATGCTCAGCAAATCTGCAAACCTGTTCCTGGGGGTCGGAGATTGAATCACAGTTTTTCCCCTAATGATTGTAATAGGTGTGGCGCTCCAGGTTACTTTTGTGATGGAGTTAAATAGTGATTGGTGATCGCGGGCCACTGAGGCAGACTCCATCTCCTCAGCAACCCATGACCACCAACCATCCTTGCAGCGTCTTACGGCTCTCCGAACCTCCGAGCGAAGGCTGCGGTCAGCCTCCTCATTCTCTGACGTGGGATGCTGTAGCCGATGAGAGTGGGCCTGTCGCTTTTTCTCAACTATCCTGAACACCTCCTCTGTCAGCCAGGGTTTCTGGGGAGGTCTGGACCGCGTACCCAAAGCAGCCATTGCAGCTGCATGAGTCACAGTCCTAAACCTCGCTCATTTACCCTCGACATCAGGAGGATTGGGGGACGATGCCAACCCCAGCTGCAAGCGATGATGAAATTCTCGCTTGCAACTTTCATCATATAACTGATACCAGGCCACTTTAGGTTGGAATGGGGTCCTGGGTGTACACCCACCACCGGAGTGGAAGAATGGCAGGCGCATCTTACAGATGACTAGTCGATGGTCAGAGGGCAGATCAGCTCCACAGTAGGTCCTGGTGTCAAGGACATGGGCTCGCATCCGCTGGTCCGTCACTATGTAGTCCAGCAGATGTTCTTGCTTGGACCCGGCATGCATCCATGATGTTGTGTGGATGCGCCGATGCCGGAAGAGCATGTTGGTAATTACAAGCCCATGGGCTGCACAAAATCTAGCAGCCTCCTACCGTTGTCCCGAGTGGCCAGTTTAGCCAGCACCTGTGATAGGAGGTCATAGAAAGCATCTGACTCATCGGCTTTTCCTGCATCCCTCCATGGATGTTCGTCTTCGGTGGGGGCATAAGTAACCACGACCACCACTGCTCGCCTCCGGTTGATGGAAAGGCGAGCCCAAAGTATCTTGGGGCTTACAGCTTCCCACACCTCACCGCCACGCTCCCACGCCCCCTTCATTATTTTGTTCAGAAGAAGAGCCACACCCTGTTGTTTGGCAGTCTCCTGCCCCGAGTAGAGGACTGTCCCCCCCTCATGGTGGCAGGAGCCAGAACCGGTCCACCAGACCTCCTGAATGCCACAGAGATCCAGGCGGTACCGGTCCAGCTCCCGGCAAAGGAATGGCAGCATCTCCTCCGCAGTGAGCATTCCAACATTCCACGTGGCCATCTGTAGTGGCTTTTCGTTGTTTCTGGAAGAACCCCGAGGGTGAAGATTAAATCTCCTGGCTCCACCAATTGGGGTTTGGCCAGGAGACGTCATAGACGCCTGTACCCCCGGGGCCTCTGGCACAAGCTTATTAGTTACACATTTATGTTTAAGTCGTGGTTTTGTGGTAATGAATTGAAGGTGGAGGGATTATCAGCCCCTCGCACCCGTCCAGAGCCCCCGTTTAGCCATTGTGGTGGTCACAGACGCCATGAGGGGAGAGGCCAATGGGCATTGGCCCTCCCCCCACAGCACTGTCCACGACAGAGTTGCCCGTCCGGCACCGCGAAGAGGTAGGGGGTTGTTTTGCCGCCCTGAAACACACACATCGACTCACACACACACACACAGATCGACGTGCAGAGCAATCCTCGATGATGGCACAGCTATCAGCATCGCAGTACTACGTATCAGTACATTGCGGGACGTGAGCAATCGAAACAATATAAATGCATAGAAGAAAAAAATCTGAAATAAGTGTACATGAAATAGCAGTACGCACAGGTAAGTAGAGAAGCAGGCTACAGTCTAGATTATAGACTGCCAGTACACTGACTCAATGACATAAGCATTGCTACAGTGGATATAAAAAGCTGGCAATACAGGTGTAGGACTTGAGATAACACGCGTCACGCGTTTGGTTGTGATACGAACATGCAGCGAACAGTGGGGGCAACTGGGGACACGGATAGTGGGGCGCGCGATACAGTTGTTGTTGCGCCAATTAAGGGGTGAGGTAATTAAGGGACGCTGCAGTTGTTGGGGGTAACTGAGGACGCTGGCGGGTGATTGGTCGAGAAGGTGAGTGGTTGATGACTGGCGCCGGGGTGTCCCCGATAACAGGATCACGTGAGGCTGGGGGCCTGGGGGCCAGTAGCGAAGTGTGGGATGACATAATTAATTGGGGCTGATTGGTTCGGGGATAAAGGCAGTGAGCGTATGGAGATACGGGAGTCATTGTTAGGGTTGGAGTCGCAGTTGGAGTTAGCGTTGGAGTTGGTGCCTGGGACAAGAGTGTATAGTACAGGGTAGCAGTGGACAAGAGTGTAGCAGTGGACAAGAGTGTATAGTATAGGGTAGCAGTGGACAAGAGTGTATAGTATAGGGTAGCAGTGGACAAGAGTGCATAGAATAAGGTAGCGGTGGACAAGAGCGTATGGTATGAGATAGCAGTGGACCAAGAGAATACAGTATACGGTAGCAGTGGAGAGAGAGTACGGACGGAGTAGCAAGGACGGAGCGAGTAGAGCATAGGAAGCAGCGGAGTAACGGACCTTGGTGGAGAGAGAGAGAGCGAGCGAAGCAGCGGAGCGAGCGAACGGAGGAAAATCGAGTGGGGCTGATGGAGAATTGTGCATAGAAGAGTATGAAGGAACATTGAGCGATGCTGTCGGAGATGTGAACTATATGCAAAATAAAAGGAATGAGAAAGACAAAGAAGTTGTCGCGTCAGTAAGAGTCCTACACAGGCAGCAGCTGAAAAAGCAGGATACAGTTGACATGAAAGGCTGGCAGTACAGTGAGCTCGACCGAACGCACATGACTTGGCACGGTCGCCCCCCCCCCCACCCAATTGGCATGAGTTGGTACGGCTGATGTCACGCAATAAATAAATGAATAGAGCCTTTTAATAGAATGTAAGTGCTGTAATAATATTAATATCTAAGAACTTTATAATAGTAACTGCACGCATCGTGTTGGGGGGAGGGGGGCGAAGAGGACGTCACACTGTGAAGAAATAGCCGCAGCGTTACGTGTCTATTGATTGCATGTTAAACGCGTAAAAGAAAATGTCCCCCCATGAGGTCGACCGAACGAGCATCACTTGTCAGGGTCCCCCCCCCCACGCAATTGTCGTGAGTTGGTACGGTCGATGTCGCGCCATAAATAAATATATCGGAATCACACTCAATCGCTAATTTAACTAATTTAAAGGAGACGGACGTGAAAAAAAATAGCCTAGGGCGTGCTGCCTGGCAATTTTTTGTCTACGTAAAGCCTACCGTCCAAGAGCCAAATTCCTCGCAAGGGCGCGCGTGGAGACTTTTATATATAAGAAAAAAGAAAGAAAGAAGATGGCTATGCATAGCTGACCCATCTACACAGCCCCATCGTCGGCGTCTAACCATATAGCTGGCTGACTAATATAGCGATGATGACGATGGGAGCCGTGCAGAGGTTCGGCCACGTGGCCAGACGATGAAGAGAGAGATGATGGCGAAAACAATGACAGCAGCCTTCTAGAACCTTTGAGCAGGTTCCCGGAGCTTCCAGATGAACCCCGCCTTTTACCTTCAAACCAGTTCAGCCCCCCTTCTAGTTTATTATATACAGCACCCATACTCGTGATTACCCCTCCTGGTCAACAGATTAAGATGTATGGGTTATTTAGCTATAAAATGAAATTTAGTCAGTCTAATGCATGAATTCATAATTTAATAATTATCTCATACATGTAGTATCCACCCCATTCCTGTAGAGCAAAGCTATCACAGTTTGTAGTAGTTTCACAGTTGGGAGGTGATTTTGTGGTGTAATCCCAAATTAGTGATTTGTGGTGTAATTAATAACCATAGTGGCCTGTGGAATTCAAACTGTGAACCTCTGAAATAAGTGGCATACACACAAAGCATAAATCCATTTATACTTTAGCAAATAAGAGCACCAACCCTTTGATTCAAAAGTGGTTCTGTTTTCCAGTTTCTTCCAGCTGCTGTGGGCTGCTTCAGACTCTGGGTCTTGAAGAGCCAAAGCGTACGCTGTTATGGCGATCGTGTACATACGCTTGAGGTCGGACACTTTGCTCGCCAGGAATTGTACCGCTCTGTTCATGCTCTGCTTGTAGTTCTGAGCATCCAGACACAAACATTACGCGTTACACAACAAATACTGTTTTGTGCATAATATTGCATCATCATAATCATCAGCCATAATTAATCCACTGGTGGATGAATTCCTCCCCAAGACTCCATTAAACCCCCACGATCCTGTAATGTAACAATCCATTTATCACCTGCACACAAACTGCTTTCATCGCTCCATATCTTTGTGGACGTGCTTTCAAATGCATCAATTTAATGGCTTCCACTCCGTTAATATTTTTGGCCATCATCCATCATCTCTTCTAGCCAAGAAGTGTCCGGCCCAAGCCCACTCTTAATAGGTTTGATGATGTTATGAACCTGCATATCTTATTGAATCCACGTGTTCTATATCTGTCCCTCATTGTAATTCCAAGCATGGATCTCATCATTCTTTTTGCGCACTTTCAAGTTTTTGTTCTGTATTTTTCATTACGGACTGCATTGATGCAGAAACATTGGCATCTCCTTATTACTGTGTAATTTCATTAAAAACAATGTCACGGAATGGATGAATTAAAAGTACATTATTTCATTTCATAATGTTACTTTCCTTAATGTTCTATTTCTCAGTCAGCCCACAAGCTTCAATCTTTACAAAACGTTGCTTTGTTCAGTCATGTATAGAGTTCCCGTGTTGCTAATGAGTGTGAGCTGCTACAGCAGTGTAACTGTTAGCACACAAGACTTCCAATCAAGAGGTCGAGTCCACATTCTGGCACGGCAGTTTAAAACAAAAGACTTCCAATCAAGAGGTCGAGTCCACATTCTGGCACGGCAGCTTAAAACAATGGGACAAGTTACTCAAATCCCCCTGCTACCACTGTCTACCCAACAGCGTAGGTTACACCATTGGCAGGTTGAAAAGGGCAGAGAAAAGTGTGGTTATGCCCACCTCTTTAAAGAGACCTGATCAGCAGTGGCATGAGCAGGCAATTGCAGGGCTGCACCTTTAACTTTAACCTAATTGATGGAAGTGCACCTTACTACTGTCCCATCTTGGCTGCTAGCCCATCTTGGTGGTCCAACATTGCCTAATCCATATGGTCCAATTATATAATCTGCCCTACTCGCTCCAACTTTTTCATTGAAGTCTCCTATCTCCATTCTTACCACCTGAAATTTGCACTGTTCTTTAGCCTTATCTATCTCCTTATATAATGCCTCATCGAAACGTCGTGATGTATATATATTTTTCTACCTACAAGACTTTACCGAAAGAACCAAAGAATATGGATTCCTGCAGTCACGAAGCTTCAAATCAAAATTACCTCAAGTTTGAGGGTTCAGCTGTAGGGGCATACTGTATGATACTTGAATAATGTAGATGTCAAATGGCTCTCATATCTGCAACATAGTTTATCAGAGAGCTTGTTGCAGCATTCCTACTCTGCTAACACGTGTAATTCCTCCTGAATACATTGAAAACGTTTCCATCAATTATAAAATGTCCACTAACTTTACATGTAACTTCACTCGGTCCTAAAAATAATTATACTAAGTCTTGTCATTCTCGCTTTGCAATTTCCAGTTTTCTTTTGGTAAAGAGTTCTTACATTCCAAGTTACTGCACTTTTGTTTTTGTTGTTGTGGATAGTCGCAGGATTACAAGTCGAGTGTCACGTGCCACTCATGACGGTTTGTAGTGGACAAGGTGTCATCGCCCTGTGAAACCCCCATCTACGCCGTTGTGAACAATAATATTTCTAGTATGAAGTCTTCTGGTTCTGGACATGACTCCATTGGTAAATACAGCAGTGGTTTGTCCTCACCTTCTGCTGGTATATTTATAGGGTTTACTCTCCTAGCCTTTGGTTCACAACCTATTCCACAAGGCAGCAGGGAAAGGGGGAGAGGTGGGCGACGCAGTCCAATTGAAGTCAATGTTAAAATATCGACGCAGTTGAGTAGACATCACGATTGAGATGCCAATGTAATTGAGACGGTATAGCTGTTTAGATGATTACTATGTTTAAACCAAGTTCATTTGAGATGGTAACGCTATTGATCAGGAATCATGGTTGAGATGAACCGGTGGTTCGTTTGAGATTATAATTTAGCTGAAATGTGGCAACCGCTAGCTTGGGAACGCAGCACTTTTGGAACACGACACGCATGACACTCACGCTTGTGCTCCACGGCTGTGATGTTGACAGTGTTTTCCATCACCACCTTCATAACATCTTCCTCCCCATCATCACAATGCTCACCGCGGCCATACGTGCCCTCACGATGTCGATGCTAGCACATCGGTTCCAGATTCCCATGTGATCCCCAGGGCTAGCCATGACTGGGGTTAGTGACAGTCATTGAATTTACCCATTGGACTCTGTAGATTACCATAAGGTTGCTACCACAAGACGCAGGCAGGTGGCGAATGTCGACAATCAACATCTAAACACTATTCTGTAGGCACCATGCTGATCACATGAGGCACAGCATGAACCTGATTAATTAACTAATATAGTGCATTTTGTATTCATGCCATTCGTATAACACAAGGCCATCATGCTGGTGCTGCTATGTTGCACAGGCACAGTCTGCAGTAGTTTCACAGCAATGGGCCATTTAGGTACTTGGCAGGTAACTTTTTAAATTTGACGATGGCATACAATCGTCTATTTGTTTCAAATTACTTGGATCTTTAACGTCCAATGAAAAGTAGACGGCGTGCAGAATTGTATGATTAATACAGCCGAAGTAATCAGGCTGACCAGATTCAAACTGTAAACCTCTGCAATAAGTGGCAAACATGCTACAGTTGGGCTTGGCGGTCATGGGAGTGGCACTCAATCAACATTTTACAAGTTCAATTCCTAATGCAGGGTTGACTTAGTTCTTTATCTCTCTGGTGTAGTTAGATCAGCAGTTGTCCTATTGAGAGACTCGCCACCACGCTAGGAATGAGGAATGTAATGCTGTATTGCTGAAGTGTGATACTGCATATTTGCCGGCATTTAATACCGGAACAGAGACTCCACAATATTCTTGTGCTTGTTGAATTCCGATGAGAATAAATGCTGTCATAGACACGTGGCCTTCCGTCCCACCCACTCCACCCTGAAAAGATAAATGCATATCAATCAATACTAATTAATTTAGAACACAAATTAATGTATATGCCACCATGCAAGAACATGTATATTATTTAGTTTGCCTACTCGAGTATGCATTCACAGGATTATTTTTTTCAGGAGGGTCCTGCCAAGTTTTTTCAACAGAGGGTGATGTTGCAATCTGTAGTCCTAATTGAGTCATTTACATATAGTTTTTCACTATTGGGATGTTTGGCCAATACAAGTTCAACTGTATGATTTATTACGTTTCTTACTACGGGAGCAAACTGGAGCACGTGGATGAAACCCATGTATAACATAGGGAAAATATAAAAACTCCACACAGAAAAGCTACTAAGTAGGGAATTTAACCCAGGACAATCTTTCTGAGATGTTAGCATTATGTTACCCTCCCACCAATATAAAGCCCAATTTTCACCTTTCAGGATTCACCCTTGATAGAAACCCACCATTAATAATATTTATTCTGCATGATATAAGGATATGGATACTCAAGGAGAGCCAATGAAGAATTGTAGTTTGTGGGTTTCCTCTGAAGCTCAATTATTCCAGAAACAAGGATTTGTACCTTGGCAAAAATTTGTTTCTCTAGTCCATTCCGCTGGTTACTGGTCCAGTGTTATTTATAATATTTAGAAATTCCTTTTGGGCCACCTGTAAATGCTGCAGATACGACTTTTAGGGTGGTCACTGTTCCTCGCCTTCTAACAATAAGCCTCAATACTCATTAGCAAAGCTACTCATGGTAGAGGGAGACACAAATAATGTGACACCATCTTTCCACGAATACATGCGTAGACTTTTGGAGAATAGGTGAGGAGATGTCTGAGACTGAACAGAACATAAACAGTGGAGACTCTTCAACATAAAAATCTAAGACCACTGAAAAGAAGATAAGGAGAGATGTCACTCATATCTTAATTGAAAAGATGATCCCCTATAATCTTCCACTGATCATAGGGAGTAGCCAATGGTGAGGACGGATGAGAAGCCGGTCGCAATTGTCATGGACAAGAGAAGCAAGTTTTTACCAAGGTACAACATCTTATTTTCTCTACTGTTATGTCACAGGTCATCAGTACAGTGTTATTCATAATATTCAGCAATATCACCAAAGCAGGTAATGGGAGGAGGGGCAGGCCACTTCTTAGAAGGAAATATCTCTAGTCTGTTATGCATTCCTTACAAATACATTCCATGGATGCCCTGGCCATGATGTGGCCACCACTCTGTTGGAATGGACCTTCTTGGCCAGTGTGTAGCAGTACCTAATGCACTTCTTTAGCCATACTTAAATTTGGATCTTTGAAGCCACGTTTCCCCTGATCATGTTACCATATAGGATGAACAGCTGTTGCAAGTTTTGCCAGCCCCAAATTCGGTGCAATCAGCAGCGCTGATCCCCATTCACTCCTTACCTTGGCCAACACCCTTGGCAGGGTGGACCAAGGAGGGAATGCGTAGAGACATGCCTCAGTCTTGGAGATGGATAATGGTCACGGTCTTTAGACAGAAAAAACAGGTGCAAAACCAGGGTAACTGTTGATTGGCCTCCAATATGAAGAGGCTCATGGTAAACGATCCGAACCAACATTGGACCTGCTCGGAGACCTCAGGGCATAGAGCCCATTCCTAGAGATTGAGCCACCCTCGACTTAATGCATCCACAACCACGTTGTCTGCCCCTGCCAGATGAGAAGCCATTAATATGAGGCATTACGACTCTGTCCAGCACAGGAGGTCCTAAGCCTCTGTCACGAGAGAGCGAAATTTAGTGATTCATCATCACCAATGTTGTTATGTTGTCACATAGATTGAGATTCTGCTTCTAGTGGACCCTGGTCTGAAAGTGATGAAGTGCTAGTTCAACTGCCATGAGCTCCAGGAGATTGATGCTTCTCTCCATGCACTTTGTCCACCTGCCCTGAACACGGGAATGCCCTCAAGGTATGCATTTTGAACTTCACACCGTACGTAGCCAATTGTGCTAATCGGACCTGCAAGTGTGCTCCCCAACCCCACACACTCAAGATAACAAGGTTTTGGTGGAAGATCACTTAACGGAAACCCATTCTACAGATTCCCTCAATTAGTCCCACAGGGGAGGATATCAGCTGCTTGTTGGGTCAAATCAACCCACTAATCGAAACTGCCATGAATTGGGTTCCGTTGATGCAGGAGAGCCCGCATATGTGGCCTCATGTGCAGTCTCACCCAGGATACCATGTCGGTCGTAGAAGCCATGTGCCCCAGAGAGACTGGCTTGTAGCTCTCGAGCCTGCTGGCTGGTAAGCACATTTTGTCCAGAAGGCACATATGACCCTAGTCCGTCTAGATGTCAGCACAGAGGTGGTAGAGTCACTGAGTTTGTTGAAAAACACACTTGGCAGGTTCACCACCCAACCCTGGTCCAAAAGCTGCTGAAGGACTGCATACATTTCCTGCTGAAGATTGGAACACCATGATGCTTTGATGAGGTCGTATAAATAAGGGGTGAATATGAATACCCCTCTCCCTTACCAGCACCAAGGCCACAAGAATCATGGTGAACACCCTTGGAGCCAAAGTCAGGCTGAATGGCAGTGCCCGGTATGCATCGTGTTGCCCAATGGTGTAAAACTGCAGGTAATGCAGGTCCACTGATGTCATCCATTGCACCCATTGCAGAGAGCTTCGGATGGAACACAATGAGTCCAACTTGAAGTGTACCTTGTGGAAGATATGTCTTCATCCACATGTTTGTCCCACTCATGAGGGGTCCGCTGTCCTTGCCAACCTTCTCCATGCTGCCCTGTCCTGCACCATCTCTCTTTCCGCTCCTCGGGGCCACCATGAGTGATCTCAGCACATCGGCCCCACCTCTTTTTCTGCCTTCCTCTTGATCTATTTCCTTCCACTTGCATCACTTGCATCTTCTGACCATCATTTTCCTGTTGTCTCTCCACATGACCGAACCACACCACCCTTTTCTCTCTCATCTTCTCTGTGATTTCTATCACCTTGAGTCTTCCTCTTACTTCCCCATTACTCACTCTGTCCTTCCTTGTTAAACCCAACATCCACCGCAACATTTTCATCTCTGACAGCCATAGCTTGGTCCTCCGTTTTTCTTGTGCCCCAGCACTCGGCCCCATACAACAACACTGGTCTCACAACCGTCTTGTACACTTTTCCATTCAACCAAAGTTGTTGTAGACATTTAGCTTTCTTAAATCCAGGATTTCTCTTATGCTCCCCGAAGCTTTTTCTCAACATAAACACATCTGGAGTAACACCACTGATTGTTGGTTGGTAACCACGTATTCAATGACTTGGACGTTTAGAAGTCAGGACACTTCATGGGAGAGCACCTGAGTAAACTCTGTATCTTCTTGCAGACACGAAGTTTGGAATCCACTAAAATACAATAACTCCTGAAAGCCCTGCTTTTATTCTTGCACCACGACCCTGAACCCATTCGTCCATTATGCGTGCCCATGCCTGCTTAAATGTGGCCATACAGCTCCCTATACACATAGGATACGTGAGAGACCAGCCTTTTTCATTGGCACCGTCAGTGCTGCTAACACTTGTCTACCAAAGCGGCTGCGTTAGATTGATGCTGTGGCTATTCCTGCCTCCCTTCTTCCTTGTCTCTTTCCTCTTATCCTTTCTCACCTTGCATCCATTTTTAACTCGACTCTCAAAAGGTATCTTCCCCTCCACCTTCACATCTGCCATAATTGTCTTTATCGTAAAAAAAACGTACTTTGACCCCAACATTCCTAACAGTTCATCCCATTTATCTTATGCCTTCCTTTTACAAATTCTGGAATGCATTGATCATAACCGGCTCTCACTCCACATTTCTTTACATTCCCTCTATCCCCAATTGCTCTCTTCATTCCACCAAAACAGCCTGTCTCGATGTCCAAAACCATCTTGTAAACTCCTTTCATGCCAGTCTTTCTTCCATTGTTTAAGACACTGTTGATCACCCCACTTTTCTTTCAAAATGTCTCTAACTTCGGAAACTCTGTCACCCACCTCTCTTTGCTCAAGTATTATCTTTCTTCTCACACATCCTCAGTCTCCTACAATCACTCTGTATCCCCTCCCTCCCCTATCAAGGTCGGTATTCCATAGGGATCGGCTTTGGGTCCTTAAAAAAAGGTGTCAGTTTTTTTGCCAGATAAAAGGGTAAAAAACTATTATCATATTTTTTATTGGCAAATGAGGTACCAATGGTGGTTTTATAACTCTCAAGCGCCTTGAGTGAAGGCACTATCAATATAAATTATATTGGATTTCGGCATTTCCTTTCCTTTGCTTCTGATGAAGCGGGACCTGAAGGACAATTTGGAGGTGGCCTTCCCGCTATAACAACAGGGAATGACATCTGGAGGCCCAATTGGGATGAAAGGGCTTAAGAGACTTAAGCCCTTGCCAGTTCTTTCGGTAAAGTCACGTAGAAGGGAAGTATTACAATAATAAAAATAAAACATAATAAATCAATTCTCACGACGTTTCGGCCACAACGCAAGCAGCCGTCCTCAGGTGAAAACCAGGTCTGTCGAGGCGGCTGCTTGCGTTGTGGCCTAAACGTCGTGAGAATTGTTTCATTATGTTTTATTTTTATTATTTTATTACTTCCCTTCTACGTGACTTTACCGAAAGAACCAAGAAGATGAATCCCTGCAGTCACGAAAGCTTTAAATCGAAATTTATTCATTACATTCAGCAATTCTCTTCTGGCAATGGCACACATTGCAAATAAAGCTTTTGAGCCATCATTACACTTCCTCACCCTCTAACCATAAGCCTCACTCTTCTCTCTGCACCTCGGGATGGGAAGGGACATGCTGGACATTACCTCGCAGGCAGTGGCTGTTGCTGTAATGAACCGAATGGTGATCTGGCAGAAAGAAACCAAGCTTACCACTTGAACGAATTAAGGTGGACAAAGGCAAGATGACGGAGTCTCTTAAGCCCTTTACCGAAAGAACCAAGAAGGTAATGAATAAATTTAGACCAGTGGCCAGTTAGGATGGAAGTATAGAAACTGCACAATGTTTTTTTTACCTCCACAACGTTGATTAAATCCATGAAACTGGGTTACAAAAGCTTTTGTTTATACACACAATTGTTACATTGATTTATAACACAGTATACACCTGCATCTCACGATGGATGACAGGACCATCTTCTCGGTAGGAGCCATCGCTGTTCTGTCGGTTTTTAATGATCCATTCCACTGGCCCGCACAGCTCCTGGTTATCCACGATGATGACACGCTTGGCCAGCGAGTACACCTTCACCACAAACGCTGTCAACCTGAATAATTTAAAAACAGCAGAATTATGACAATGGTAATAACTATGATTTAGTAATTTTAGTATGCTCGACATTCTCATAGTGCAAGGCTATCACAGACACAGTTTGCAGTAGTTTCACAGTAGAGGACGATGTTTCTATGTGTAATCCAAAGACAAAACATAAAAACAAGAGGAACGGAGACACGCAGACAGAGCAGAACTTTGGAATTTTCACACTTAAATTCTAACTTAGCAATCTTTGAAATACGTAATCGACCAGGCTATGCGTTAATTGTGTGTTGACCGACTCTCTGTGTTGTATTACATAATATTTCGATATTTTGCTAGGTTATTTAATTTAGTGTGTTCTTCCTCCCTCTCTCCTAATGTTCAAGCCTGCGTACTTTACTACGCGTTCTTCGTACTCATTGACATGTACATTTTTTCTCTAACCCCTCCCTCTCTCTGCCTCCGCCCCCCTCTGTCTATTTAAGGCCACCCCACACAGACGATCTCCCTCTCTGTACCTGTGTTACTCTCTCTATGTATCTTGGTGATATCTGTCTGCTTATATGTCTGTCTATAGTTTTCTGGTTAGATTTTTTGTTGCTATTTCATTTATACCTGATGATGATTGCTTGTGTTGCAATCGAAACGTCGTATGCTATTATTTAATTTATTATTTTATCTTTATACGTGACTTTACCGAAAGAACCAAAGAACGATACCATTGGGCATTATCACTGCCTCCAACGTTAGTGAGCGGGGATGGTTCATGTACGGGTTCTCTTTAAGAATTTTGAGAAAGCATTTACTCATAATGCTGCATAAGCTGTTGTTAATGATACCATTTTTTATATTTAGGATATGTACTTGTGCATAATGTAAAGTGTTACGGGAGTTATCATAAAATATTAATAGTACTTAACAATAAGCCACAGGATATCTCGATTAACAGATTCATTACATTGATTGAGCAATCTGCTAAAATGGAAGGAACTATGAAGCCATTTAACACCTATGTATTTTCCAGCAAATGTTTTGATTCGTAGTCTATTTATTGGTTTGAATACGTAATAATTTGACCAAATTTGAGTCGTTAAGAATCTTTCAACATCCAACACCAAAATAAACTAAATTGGCACATGTACAAGTGTTTAACGTGCCAAGTATAATTGATTAACCTCACTGAGTCAGACAAAGAAAAATTCTCACAACCAAATTTAGACATGACATTTGATTTTAAACTGCATGAATCATCAGGACAATAATTTTTATTCAGCTTGTCAATTGACTAAACAATAATACGTGACTTGTACATGTAACAAGAATATTTGTTTGGCTGTGTCAGGTGGCGGAGGGGTCTTAATGACACACATTTGGTCAGATCATTACTTGGGTTAAATGAACAATGTGTTATGAATCTTCAGTTATTGTTTGATTGATTTACCATTCATTTAGGTTCGTAAGGTTTCAGTTCCCTTCTCAAAATGTCTACTACAATCGTCTAATAATAAGTGTAGCATATATGTTACCCTTTTCTGGCCTTAAACCAAAGGGCCATTCTATTCCCACCATATTCCTTAACATTTCCTCTAGTGTCATAAAAAAAAAACATATTTCAATAGATGTCCTAACAGATTACTTCCTCCATAGTAGTTTCTTCTAGGTCACTGCATCACCCTCCTGCTTGTAGGTCAGCATGAATACGCTTCTCTCCCAGCCTTCACGGATCTTATTTCTGAACGCTGCTCAACAGGTTCCAAACCCTGACAACTCCTTACTCTCCACTTCCGTTAGTCATCTCTGCTGCGAGTCCTTATGGGCCACAGGCTTTTTATCAATTACGTTGTTCGTGTCGTTACTCAAACTTGCAATTTGTTGATATCGAATGCCATTGTTCCTTTGTTTCAATTTTGGCTACTGTATATTGTCTCTCCCCTTCTGATTTTCCAAAAAAATCATAGAATTCTTACAGTTTATGCAATTAACAGCAACAGAGAATCAGCAAAAGCGTGGCAGATGTGGAATAAGTGATTAGGCATCATCGACGGCAAGCATTTTATGTGACTGATACGTGAGTTAAATCGATAGACATACAGAGCAGCAGCAAATGTAGCAGATACAAATTGGGGAATCTATCATTAGCTGGTGCGACCATATGCTGCACTTCATCACAATGCGAACTATAACCTTTATTTCTTCCTTATTAAAAAACCCAGTAATTATTTTAACGGTAACAGATTCACTATTGGCCCAGATCAAGTATTATAATCATATTTGATGTCAACATTTAACCGATTTAAAATAAAAATTTCAAGTCAACTTTCTTAACTAACATTTATGTTACATTAACTTATCTCAATTAAATTAGACAGAAACAGGAAGAGCAGAGAGTAGGCATGCTAAGGAGATAATAACCAATGGCAATGTGTGCCATTGGTTATTTAACTAACTGGTTGATCTGCATTGTATATGCCGCTTTTTAGCATGGTAGCATGGTGGCATGGTAGCATGGTAGCTTGGTGGTGTAGAAGCAGCTTACCAGGTGCTACTTGGACGTTTAATAAAAGCTGCATATGAATGGTCAGCCTTCCTGTAGGAAAGCTCCCGACTATAACCTTTAAAGTAAAACATAAACAAAACACACAGATAATAATTAGGACATATGCAATGTAGAGAAATTGAAGCAAAAGCCTACCCTTTAGCCGGAATAGATGGCTTGGGTAAACCTGTGGTGACGCGCACGGAAAATGGGGGGCATGTGGAGGCATCCTCTTGCAATCCTCCCTTGCCAGAGAACCCAAAAAGCAGTATTTTAGTGATATGTTTGATAATCACATTTACCAAATGTAAAGCCCTATCATCATGATCACGATCTGTGGGCAGATAGCCCGTAGGTGCCTACTGCACATTTTGTAATTTGTTTCCACTTTCCTCTGTCTTTAGTCCACAGGCCCAGACCAAAAAAATAACTTATCGGTACCACCTGAGGTGGCAAAGTCTAGTAATGATTTTTGTAATCCTCCATGTGTGTGAGACATATTCTGATATGATAACCTTTGTGGAGTTGCAGCTTAGTTGTGGTTACCATGACTTTTATATTCTTAGGTTTTTTCGGTAAAGTCACGTAGGTAAAACATCAAAATTAATACAAATAAATAAAATAAAACAAAAATCACGACGTTTCGGAGGCAACACAAGTCTCCGTCATCAGGTGGGACCGTCACAGCCGGATTAGCTGCATCAAGTGAGGCAATGATTCAAGATGTAATCCCTTAAAAAGCAAGTTGAGGGGGAGGAGAGGGGGGGCTAATCAGAATGTGGTAGCCAATGAATGGAACGTGCCGTCTTTGAGCCCCGCCCCCCCTCCCTCCCGATCCCGGTCGGGGCCGCTCTGCCCTTGGCCCCGCCCGCCTTCACGAGCATTCTCATTCCCTCTCGATCCTTCTCAAGAGCTCTCCCTGGACACGTGATCACCCACTAGCCCCCCCCACCTGGGGCCCCTTGTGAGGACACTCCGGATCACGTGTCTACGGTGTCAACCAGAGTGCCATGGCCAGGGTAACCCTGCCCCTGGGCTGATGCTCACCCACTCCCCCCTCGTGGGAGCCCCCACCACACGCTGTGCGTGGTGCCCGCACTATTCCAGTATTCACCAAGCCCCGCTAGGGCTGGTATTACACACAGCCACCCACACGGTGCTGTCCACGATGTAGGAACATCAAACGGCATGGCCCTTCTGGGCCGGCACCATACAGTGACATCCCCTATGTCACTACACGTGTAATCCTATATATATAGTTAGTGATGGGTATATGTAAAGAAGGTTACATTATTGTTATCAAGCTCTGTGTGTACTTAAATGGTGTTAACAAGGGTAACCAAGTCCAAAATCACCACACTGTGCATCAATGTATACTGCTACTACCACAGTAAGACCATCAGAATCACCACTCTGTGTCACTCAAACTACTCGTCCATCTCGTCATCTGACTCCCCGAATTCAAATTCAGGTCCTGGATTATCCTGCAGTTTTTGGTTACTGCAGGTCTGTAATCTGCACATGTCTGGGCATGTCAGTCCATTAGACAGGCACGTGCAGCTTGGAATTTTGCATGAACGTACATACTTGCATGCTAGCAGTTCCAAGACCACATCTGGTGCGGATGGGGAGTGCATCCAGTAAATGGCCAGCTTGCCATCATCGTCTGTCCATCCATACTCATTAGGGCTTGGCACCACAGGGTTAGCCTGCAGACAGCAATGCCATATTGCTGCCTTATAGTTTGCTCGTTGAACATGCACGAAGAGACAGTCTCTACATGGTGGCAGCTGGCTGAACTCGACTTCTCCCCTTTTTGTGCAGAAGAGCTGGTAGCACAGTTCGTTCACCTCACCAGTGCTGCTATTAACAACATACATGCGACAGGTGAACTGCTCAATTTCTGGAACAGCTCATCACTCACATTCCATGACTGCTGCAGTCGACTAAACGTCTCTTGGCAGGAAGTGTCCTTTCTCACCATCTTCAAGGCATTCAGCTTCCCTCGACCGGCAAATGCACTGACAGTGTCACAGCCTGTGAAGGCATGTAAGCCAATTAGGGTGTCACAGATGCTGTCTCTAAGTGACATTGCCAGTTTGCTGATATCGACAAACTATGTGCGGTTATGTGTCCCACACTTCTGGTAGATGGGACAGGTGATGTTATTCTGGAAGCCAAGACACCTTGCCATGCGGCATCTCTCTGTATCGTGGGATTTTCCACTCTTCCACCACAAACTCGCCGAGACTTGTCTTGTTGGATGGACGGCACAGGAATTTTCTCCACTGCTGGATGTGGTGTCCCCCTGCAAGGTTATTTTACTGGAGAGTGGTGTTTGACCCAGGTCGTTCACCATCTTTGATCGAAGTCTGTCGGTAGACATCAAAAACAACATCAATACTCTCACTCTGTGCCCCCTCGTGGAGGATCTGGGTCAAGGTTGACTCTGCCACCTGTGCAAAGGTTTCGTTGTTGACATTCATTTTTTGGACCAGGCTCATCCCATCAATGATGGAAGTAGATGGGGTTGGGATGTCTTATGCAGGAGACGTTCTTTTCAAGCTCTCTGGCAAGTGCAGCCTTGTTTGTTTTTCGTTGGGACCCATCAGCATTTGCCAGTGCCCGTGGCAATGGGCCCAGTGGGTGGGCAAGGACATCCTCGATATTCACCTTCCTGCTTTCAGCCACTAGGATCATGTGGCTAAACAGGTTTATATCTGCCTTCAGAACCACATCCTGTGCTTTCTTTCCACGTGCTGTTTTTTGTGCTGATATTGGAGAATGTCTTCAGACTCATCTTGCGCACTATCAGAGTAGTGAGAGCTTGGGGTAAGCATTTACACTATGAGACCTCCTTTACCAGTAGCAAAATATAGTAGTAGGTTAATCAACTTCAAGGATAGTGCTTATCATTATCAGAGTTGTTTCTTTTTGTTTGCATTTTGACTGCTTGTGTTGTGGTAATTGCAAACATGATGCCTTGTTTCGATTTAAAGCTTTCGTGACTGCAGGGATTCATCTTCTTGGTTCTTTCGGTAAAGTCACGTAGAAGGGAAGTAATAAAATAATGAAAATAAAACACAATAAAATAATTCTCACGACGTTTCGGCCACAACGCAAGCAGCCGTCCTCAGGTGAAAACCAGGTCCGTCGAGGCGACAGAGTCTGAATGAAATAGCACACAAGCTTGGAGCATATATATATATAAGCTGGGCGCCTTGAGAAAGGAATTTGCATATCAAGAGGAATTTAGCATATTTATGGGAAATGCAGGAATGTGATTAGTACTACATATGCATGTGCATTATGCAGGATTAACAGCATCAAAGGGAGCTGCAGTTGCTGCTGCTGCTGCAGTTGCTGCTGCTGCTGCAGTTGCTGCTGCTGCTGCAGTTGCTGCTGCAGTTGCTGCTGCAGTTTCTGCTGTTGCTGCAGTTGCTGCTGCAGTTGCTGCTGCTGCTGCAGTTGCTGCTGCTGCTGCAGTTGCTGCTGCTGCTGCAGTTGCTGCCTTATCCATTTTAATATAACACTATGTATTATTCTACCCACCCTAATGTGTATCACACTGCTATATATTTACTATACAATTACGACACCATACATTACTCTGCACACTGCACCAAGCATACAAATGCCACACTATCTGCCACTATACACTGTACCATTGACCGTCGTGTCAATGGGTGAGTGGTGGGGGAAACTTGCAGCGGAGTAAAGAATCCATTCCCTGCAGAGAATACAATGCCAGTGAGTGGAACGCGGTCTGAAAGTCACCGTAAACGTGAACACAATCAGTTAAGATCCGAAATGGTTTATTACGTCCTTCCAATGATTGCTAAGCCAGAATCCATCTTCTCGGTTGAAATTGTCTTTGTGTTTGTATATGTGGATCAGCAAAGATGAGCGTTTTGAATTAGCTCAATTAAAAAAGAGGGATGACATTGTCATCCTCTCAGCCGACAAAGGCAATGCCACTGTCATCATGAACAAAACAGAATACAACAACAAAATCCAAGAATTACTCAATGATGGCAGCTATACAATAAGTATAACCCGTAAAAACAAAGTTTTTCACTATAAATCCTTTATATGCGTGGCGGCTAGAGTCCTCTCATCCTCTGGCTTGAGATGGCTGCCACCTATGGGTCAGATGATTGTTTTCCCTAAACAGTGTAACATTTTTTTTCACGAACATTAGTTGTCTCGCACAACGAGTCTGTGTGGAAAATGTCAGCTCGATTGGATCACGGGAAGTGGGTTAAAAAACGACCGAAAGATTTGCACGGTCGTAAGCAAGCAAGCACGCAAGCAAGCAAGCACGCGAACTTAATGTAAAGGATTTAAAAATATATTCGCCTGTGGAGGACGCGGGGATCGATCCCGCGACCTTTGGCATGGGAAGCGAGGGCGCTACCAACTGCGCTACTCCACCACGGCCTGTGGAGGGGTTACGCTCTGGGCTCTTACACTCTGACGTTCAGCCAAAGCCATGAATGCGTTCTATTTGAATATATGTTAAATATTTTTTTTTGCCTAAAAAGTGTAAAATTTTGGGAATTTTTTTTCACGAACAATAATTGTCTAGCACAACGAGTCTGTGTGGAAAATGTCAGCTCGATTGGATCACGGGAAGTGGGTTAAAAAACGACCGAAAGATTTGCACGGTCCTAAGCAAGCAAGCACGCAAGCAAGCGAACTTAATATAAAGGATTTAAAAATAAAAGAGACCCCACCAACAGCCTCGTCTCTAAAACCAAGCAAATAATTTCGGATTCAACCGCATTAATTGATCAGACCAAACAGTTCTCATTGAAACCTTCTGCAGCCAGGCCACCAAGATTATATGGCTTGCCAAAGATACATAAAGAAGATAACCTCTTCGTCCCATTGTCTCTACTATCAACCCCCCCACCTATAAACTGGCTCGTTTTTTGTCTGAAATTCTACGGCCTTTCACTAGAAAAACCACCTCTACGGTACTAAACTCTACTGACCTAGTATCGACAATCAAGGGGATTGCCCTGTCCCCAGACGACCTGCTTGTCAGTTTTGATGTGGTTTCCTTATTCACCA